CCTGTCCTACTTGCCTCTCCCTGCTCCATCCCACCACATCATGCTCACTTGTGAGGCAGCTCTGGTGTAATGGACCAGGTACTGGGCTTGGCCTCAGAAGATGCCATATATCAAGTTCTGAGAACTTTGACAGATACTTAACTTCTTAGGACCTCAATTCTTCTATAAAATGAAGGAAATAATCATCATGGCTGCAAAAGAATAAATGAAATATTGCATATGAAGAAACACAACTAACCTTATTGAATTTTTTATTGGCGTAAAATATACATAAGAGTTACCATTTCATCCATTTTTAAGTGTATCATTTAGTGGCATTAAGTATATTTACAATGTTGTGCAACCATCACACTACCCATCTCCAGAACTTTTTCATCATGCTAAACAGAAACGCTGTGCCCATTTAATAGTAACTGTCTACTTCCCCCTCCCCAGCTCTTGGTAACCACCTTTCTACTTTCTATTTCTATGAATTTGACTGCTCTAGGTATCTCAGAGAAATGGAATCATATCATATTTGCACTTTTGTCTCTGGCTTATTTCACTTTGCATAATGCCTTCAAAGTTCATCCATGTTGTTGCATGTGTCAGAATCTCAAGTCCTTTTTAAGGCTGAATAATATTCCATTTTATATCACATTTGACTTATCCATTCATCCTTTGATGGACATTTGGATTGTTTCCACCTTTTAGCTAATAAATGCTGCTCTGAACACTTGTGTGTGCAAGTATCTGTTGAGCCCCCTTTTCAGTTCTTTTGGGTTTACACCTAGAAGCAGAATTGCCACATCATATGGTAATTCTTTAACATTTTGGGTGACATCCTACTTTTAAGTATTTTTGGAATCTATTGAATTGATTGTAGTGGTGTGACTCCTAAATGGAGTTTGTTCATAGCGGTCATTTAATTCCCGTAGTTTACATGACATGAGTCAGGACAGTGAGGTCACCTTAAGTTTCAGGACTCCAGGAACGCCTTGCCAAGGTGGCAAGCTCTCTAACCCATGGTCTCAGAAATGTATTCACTGTACACTTAGAGATCATTGAGGGTGAGGATGTGCTCTATTGGTACCCAGATGTGTTGGTTAAACATTAGTTGTATCGATGGCTATAAATTTTTTGCTTTGCACCTGTCTGCAGGGATTGAGGAGACCGAAGAGGCTGAAGACAGGCTGATGGGCTCAGTCGGTAGGCTGCATTATCTCACCATGACTGCCGAAAATCCGACACCTGGAGACCTGGCCCTCGCTCCTCTTGTCACTTGCAAACTCTGCCTGTGTGAACAGTCCTTGGACAAGATGACCACACTCCAGGAATGCCGCTGCATCTTTTGCACAGCTGTAAGTTTTCCTTGATGCTTTCATCATGAGAAAATACAAAGGGAAGACTTTTGATGGTGTAGGATACATTTCTGTGGCTTACTGAGAAGCCAGGATTGCTACAATATGATCTGAACTTTGGAGAGCCACTCCACACTGTTTCCAAATAGTGTCTTGAATGGTAAACTCTATACTTACTGGTTTTTAGGAAGAGTGTGATGTGTGTGTGAAATTTAATTATTTGTTGAATAAGCAGAGTTTTTCTGTTCTTAAAGTTCTAGCTAAGAAATAAAATAGAGACATTTTTAACATGCCATAGTTAACTATCATCTGTACAAAGCTCATGGGGTATTTTGAATGATGGGGAAATCAGGTAGCAATTTACTGAAGTTTCTTTCATATACTTGTTCATCTCCTACAAGGTACATGGTATACAACTGTTTCACTTTGTCACATCTCCTCTTTGTTTTCTCTCTTCTCTTTTCACAATTTGCCAAAGGCTCTTTATTCTTCATAGTAGAGCAATGCTGTAAATCTCCAGGTGTGGGCTTGTCTCTTTCCGTCTGACACTTGGTATCAGTGACCATGACCTTTACTGCGTTTCCCTGAAGGTTGGTTGGTAAAGGTATAAAGACAGAAAACAGGCTGACGAGTTCAAAGTGACTTCTAGAAGCGTGAGCTCTGGTGGTCTCTCTCAGTTTTCCATTTAGTCAAATGCTTTGTGAGCTTCGGCTGTGTGCCAGGCACTGCGCTCGGTGTGGGGAATGCACAGATGACTCGGTGCTTCGCACAGGGAGATGGGCAGGCTGAAGGAGCCCCTGACAGCCTGGGGAGACCAGGATGCGCTCAGCGACCTCCGAGCTGAGGCTTTTAACAGGAGATTGCCAACTGATGCCCAGGGACCACGTCTGGCCTCAATACAGTTGCTTTTTGATTGGGAAATTAAAAATAACAAATTTTATAAATTTTTCATGAAAAGTAGTAAGATATAGCTACTCTGGGCCTGTGTTCATAGGCCCAGAAATTGATGATCCTTCCTCCATTTATGTACCTGTCTCTCTCCTGTATGTATTTGAAAAAGCTGCACTTTCAAACTAAGGATGGGTTGGTGAAGAGTCAGACAGGTGTCTCCGCATGGCAGAGAGAACGGTCTGGTGCCAAAAGTCAGTATTTACCCTTTAGCTCTGCTTTGGTGGGCCTTTCATGGGCAGACTGTTAATATTTTTTGTACAGTCAGTACAATAATCGCCAGCCAATGAGGGTTTAATGCCCTGACTTGTGAAGGAAATTGAATTGTTTAGTTAGAGTGATCAGTGCTTAAATCAAAGGGAATAAAAGAAAGGAATCATTTGGGAAGTAGAATCACTTAAAAAGAGGTATATTTATTACTAAGGTTTACTAAGCATTCTTTTTTTAACAGACAAGTTCAGGTGAAAGAAAATTTATTCCACAGTTTTTTGTTAATGTAATCAATGAAGCACATTTTCAAGCTAGTTCACACCAATTTTCTTAAAAACAATTTTTTTTTTTGGATTGAGGATTAGGGTAGGGAGAAGCCTCAGCATGACTTTTAGGTAAAAAGGAGAGGGATTGAAATCCTTTTCTTATGTTTTGAACGCTAGGATCCAAAGATGGTAATGAATAGTATTGTTTGTTCACTCATTCAACAAAAATCTAGTGAGCCGCACCTGTATGCCAGGAACTGTTCCAGGCACCAGGATTTATCAGTTAAAGAAACAAAACCCAGCAGAGATCCTTGCTCTTGTCAAAGCAAGTTATACAATAAACAATAAACATAGTGAATAGGTAAGTTATACTATTGGGTGATAAGGGCTTAGAAAAAAAGTTGAGCAGGAGATTAGGAGTGTGGGCCGAGGGGCTGTTACAGTTCAAGCAGGGCGGCCAGGAGAAGACCTCAGTGACTTTGGTTCTTTCTCATCTTGACAGTGGGCGTTGCTTTATAGGAAGTGAGGAAATGGCCTTGTCATCTCAGGGCAGCTTTAGTTTCCTTTAGTCTTGCTTTGTTTCTGAATGCTGTGCTTCAAAAATGATTATGTCTCTGACTTTTCCACATATGTTTCAGACCCTTGCTAATTTTTGAAACAAAAGTCAGAAGCAACATTTGGGTAAAGGTAGGATGGACATTTTTGCCCAAGCATTACTGATGTTTAAAAGCAGGATATGGAATTCCGTTTTTGCTATGAGATGTGTTAGTGTGGAATTCAAGTTTATACATCAACATTGGGGAAAGCGTAATCAAGCAAAGGTGGTTATTTCGTATTCACAAAGGAGCTGACACTGACATATTGTTTCAGTAGATCTTAGTTCCCAATTAAAAATTGCACAACTGCTTCTTATTTCTCCTTCAGCAATTTAGAGGTAGGAGTTGGTACAATTAGATTATTCTGTCATCTAGGTTCATACTTCCTTATTGTTGGGGAGTGCTCAAAAGCAAAAAGCCAGATGGCTTGCTATTTTTGGTATCCCTCCAACTTTGGAACTTTTTGTACCTATAAACATTAACCTTGCCTGGCTTCCTGATACCCCATTTCCTATGATCTGCTGAAATAGTAAGCTGCGTGTGTTTGACTATATTAGTGTCTGTAAATTTGCAATTGATGCCAAACTCACCTGAAATACTACTATAACTTTTTACTGTTGGAGCTTTTATTTCTTCTTCTTTAAAAAACTGTTTAAAAATGTGTCTAATCCTTCCAGATATTAATTTGCACTCAAATTGAAGCTATCAAATGTGTTTTCAAGGCTGAAAAGAAATTTGTGACTTTTTTATTATGCCGTATACTACTAATTTCCAACTTTAAGTATGACTGGATAACATCTCCCAATTATTGGCTGAGAAAGACCATATATTTAAAATGGTTTTGCTAAGATAGCCCTTCTCTCCCCCTCATTAGGGAAATGTCCGAATTTAATGGTCCTCCTGCTAGATATGGTGCTACACTTATATATTTTCATAGATTTAATCAAGCTTTTTATACATTCTATCCTAGTCTGTTTTCCCTAAGATATATCCCTGAACATTTGTTGTGAGGTTAAATGCTTTTTGTTTCCAAGATCAGTGAATGCAGAATGGACAGATGTGGAGAGTCTGACCTGACCACTGGAGATTAGCCAGCTCATTCCCTATTTTTAGGGAGATCTGACCTTTAACTAGTCATCCCCTAACTGATGTATTCCATGGACCTCCAGCTCTGTGAAACAGAGGAGCTCCTTGAATAAAGTGTTTCATACTCAACTCAACTTGGAAAATGGTATGTGCTCTGTACCTCTCTTGGAGGGACCTAATGCACATTTGCATTTTAGAAGCTCTGTGAAATCTTGTGGTTAAGAGGAAAGTTTGTTTAACTTCTTCCAAAGCATTTCCATTTGATCATTCCACCTTTTTTTTAGTGGAATACCTATTAACTTCCCTACAACTAGAGCTCTGAAGAATGCTGCTTTAAATTATCCCATGTAGGTAATTCTTGATTTAAGTGGCACCCAGAGAAAGGAATGTGACTAACATTGCTTTAAATAATCCGTCATTACATCCAGTTTCTTTGTAAAGGAAACTTATTATGTTCTGTTTGTGAAGATGGTTTTCGTTAAACGATTTGCTTAGCTTTAATGTACAGAAGAAAGTGTAGTGTAAAGCAGGGGAAGCTGAATTTACAGGACAAAAATGGGTGTAGCTCTCACTAGCATGGCTGAAGTTATAGGTCATAGGTGTATTACGGAGCCAGAGGAGTTGATATTTGGGAGTTATGGAGAGAGGTGTTGCAAAATTACTTGTTTTTGTAATTTCTCAGGGATGTTAGTATACTAACCAACGATATACAAAAAAATCTCTCTCTCTATCTCACCCTCGTGAATTTAAATAACCCCAATATGAAAATTCAGATTTTCCTCTTCTGGCATCTGCAACAAGCCTTTTCAGGTAACATCGCACAATTATAATGCAAGTGAAAGAAGAAAAATTCACAAAAGTCAGTTATCAAAGGAGGACAGACTTGTGGCTTCGCTCCCTTGTGAGCAATATTTGCCTCTCTGATTTATTTTGGAAGCTATTTCTGGCAGCCACGAATTAAAGAAGAATGAATACACCGTTGTTGCTTGTTTTTATAACCTAGATAATTTCACCTGAAAAGAGTTGGTATGTTGGGCATGGCCTATTTACCTTTCAGATTAAAGACAGGATGTGCTGAGCAAAAAGAAAATAAAGTCCAGCCAGCCATATCCTTGCCTTTTTTCCATTACGTTTTGTTGGCTTGAGGTAGTTAGAACTCCTTTTACTATTCATTTCTCTGAGCCAAATGGATTTTCCAATGTTTAAAAAAGTGAGAGGAAATATAAAAGTTTTCAGACTAAGCCCTTTTCCTTTGGGCCTGTTGAGTGACCTTTAAGAAAAGCCCACATATGTATGGTTTGGGAGACATTTCAGTTTGGGGAGATTAGCAGTGCTTGCATGAGTGTGTGTGTGTGTGCACACATGTGTGCACGTGTGCATTTGTGTGTCCATGTGCACACTTGTGCACCACATGGTTGGTAACTTTCAAGTGAAAGAGAGAATCTGCAGTGGCTCAGTTCTGGATTCTGAAAGCTGTGTTAGGAGAAAGGAATGCCATTTTCCTGCTCCCACTCCATCTGCTCTCCCAGTGGAGCACAGTGATTAAGCGTGCAGGAACAGAGCTGGGAAGACCCAGGCTCAGGTTCAGGTTTACGCTTGGTCATTTAGTGGTGTGTGGCTTCAGGTAAAATCTCTGGCTTTTCTGAACCTTAGTTTTATCACCGGTAGGGTGGAGGGAGGTAAGGGATGACAATACCTTTCTCAGCATGTTATAGGAGGCATCAAATAAGAATTCCAGCAAAGCAGCTAGCACAGTGTCAAGGCCCGAGTAAGTTCTGTGAGGATACTGAACTGCTCTGTTTTTCAAAAATGTTTTAGAGAAAGAAAATCCTATAAAAAAAACTTGTCTGGCTTCCTCGTTAGCCTTTTATAAAAAGGAAGTTGTATAGGTGAT